TACCTGAGAAGGTGAAATTTTGCAGAAGTAGCACTGAAGGTAAACAGTTGTATATTATCTGCTAATCTGGGTACCTTTTGTTTCATGGTATACCTGGTCACTGCTACTAGTGGGGGCTGGTTTTTATATTTCTCTTTCACTAGAAGCTATTGCCAAGATTACAGCGTAACGTAATAAAATAGGGAACGTACCTCTGAAGTGGATTCAGTAGTGGTTATCTGGCCTGCTTTTGTTGAGTAGTCAGAAAATGTTTAGTGATTATTTAGACCTCTTCCAAAAATACCGTCTCAAGTTGCCTTGTTTAGTTAGTACAGTACATCTGGGAACATGTTGATGTTAAAAATGGTAAAACAGTTTTTAGAACAAACTCTGTGTGTACTAATAGTTTGGGTTTTTTTTTTACACTTGCTTTAAAAGGAAAGAAAGTATTGGCATTAGTGTCATGAGTGACATATAAAACAATTTTAAAAACACCTATTGGTGTAACACTAGAGGCTGCATTTTATGTTGCCACACTTCACTGCTCTTTATGTTTAGTACTACCAAGTACATTGAAATAAAAGGGAGTTACATTTAAACATGAGGAGGAAATGTTTTTACTTGAACAAGTTGCCCACACAAGCTGCAGGGTCTCCATCTTTGGAGAAGCAAAAACCCCTGAGCAACCAGCACTTGCTGGCCCTGCTTTGCAGGAGGTTGCACTACACAGTCTCCACAGGTCCCCTGAAATCTGAACTATTCTGTGATTCCAAAAGCTCAAGGAAAAAGATGTAGCTAATATTTTAGAATCTCTGAGCGTTTAAAAATTAGTTTGTATGTGGAGGTGCACATGGAGGGCTGAGAGTCTCCTCTATTTGAAGACCATCCATTTGCTTTCAGAATGCAGAGGGGAAGTCAGCCTTACTGTTGAGAACCTTACATTTTGATCCTGGCCTTCCCATAACAGCAAATGGTACAATGCTACTCATGACTTTAAAACCCACTTTATTCATTAGTCCATTGATGCAGGCACAAACTATGTTTTCTGCAGTGCTTTTGTTACCTTTGGTAGATATGCATTATAAAATAGCATGCCAGCCTTTGTCAGAAATCTCGAGGATGGGCTTCCTAGGTTGTTTGTATAGAAACACAGAAGTTGCATACAGACAATGATTGCTTCATCTTGACTCTTTGATCAATAGGGAGAACTGTTAGAAGCTGATAACCAGTGTACACATAGAATTTCTCCAAATAATTAGTGACAGAGAAGATAGAAACCACATTATAGGTTCAGTTTATTGATAAAGTAGAATTTTAGAAGTTGTATATTTTTTTTTGTATTGCCATCCATGTTTAGTGCCAAGTATGGACTAAGAAGGCCCTTAGAATGTAATTACTTGAGCCTGCAGTTGTTGCAGTCATGTACCAGTTAAACTGGGGGTGAATAATACTATGACTGGAAAGCATGGAAGCATAGAAAGAGATCTTAATGCTTTAGCACCTTAGCACGTGTGCATCTTGTCAATGTCTCATACCAAGAGTGCATTGGCCCACCTTATCCCTCCACAAATGCTAGTTCTCAGCCCTTTTCTCCAGCTTTTTAGAACAATATGATTTAGGAGAACACAAGCCTGTCCCTATGGGAGAAAGATACACAAGTAAAAACAACTACCAACCTCACATATTTCATGCCTGATCATTACCAGTATTGAATGTATTCCTTGCTTTTTTCATGTCCTCAAAATAGGTCACTTAGTGCAGGGAAATACTTCTTCAGTACAAAGGCAGTTTTCCTTTAGTATCATAATAGCAGGAAACTTCAACGCATTACTGCATCGGTATAGGTTGCTCAGTGCTGCGTAATCAGGCAATGAAGGTTTTTAGAGAGCAGTGAGTCTTATGTTGCCTGCTGCAGGATGTAAGAAATAATTAAGCAAATTATTAAAAAACAGCGAACATCTCACGTATTTGGCTGCCTGGTGTCGTTTATAAAAAGTTATGAAATATAGGGGGGGGGAAAAGCAGCTCCAAGGTTTTTTTTTAATTCTTTTTAAAGTATACACGTAGTTTATTCCATTCTGTGTAGAGAATGCTAGTATAGACAGCAGTTTTCCAGAAGCACTGATTGTATCTGTCTTTTCTTTAGTTCACTATATGGAGTACAGAAAAAAATTTATATGGCCTACATTCTGAGGCAGGTACACTTGGAAAATACAAAAGCTTTTGTTTTGTTTCCCCCTAGGATACAGATGAATTTATCTTGCCCACAGGAGCCAACAAAACTCGAGGCAGATTTGAGCTGGCCTTTTTTACCATTGGAGGATGTTGTATGACAGGTAGATTTGTGTTTCTCACTTTTCCCAGCTGCCCGGGTAACTAACACCTATACTATGCATGTACTACTGTAATTGATAAGATTGTAAATATCTTGTTCTGCAGTCCTGTCTTACATAAAAGAGCTATTTCAGTCTGTACACCAAAGTCTATCCTCAGTATTTATTTCTAGTATTCTTTCTTCTTCAAAAGTAATAACTGGTATTATGCAAACTAGGAGCAGCATTTGGTGCACTGAATGGCTTGCGACTTGGCTTGAAAGAGACACAGAATATGGCGTGGTCAAAACCTAGAAATGTACAGTAAGTGTTCAGTCTCAAAAAAAGTACACCTTTGTTGTTTCCTCTAGCCTGTATTTTTGTGTCTTTAGTGGGGACAAATGAGAATCAGTGTGTTCATCAAGTTATGAAATGGTTTTAGTTATAATGATGCTCAGTTCAAGCTTTTTGCTTTGCATTTGGTGACAATTTGTATGTCCTCTGATTTACATTAAATATTTGAGAATTAATTACTTTGATGTTTACTAGAAATGTACTTCAAAGTCAAACCAGTGGTTTGGTTGAAATATTCCCACGGCCAAAGCAGCTTGCTTTGCTTTGAGCTGTTTTTTTGCTGTCGCTTATCTGAGGGCAAGCTCACTTTTCTTTCCCAAACTTTTCAAAAGCAGGAAGAGATTAAAATGCAGAAGCTGTGCCTGCCTGAGTTTGCATTAGGGATGACATTGGTGCGTGCTGCTGAGCAAGTGTTGAATGGCGGAAGTAGTTCTGGATTACAGCATCCATGGATGCCCGTGGCATTCCCATGATTTTGCCTTACCTGATAGTTTGAAAGAATGCAGTTAAGATAGGAATGATTTTTTGTTGTTGTTGTTGGCAGTATGCTTCTTTTAGAATTATTAGTAGTTTAGACATAACTACGAGAAAACTTCAGTGCCTGTGAAAAAGACATAGGAAACTAGAGGAGTGGAATAACTGGGGAAAACCATTTTCACTCCCACAGAACTTTGAAAAAAAGGAATTTTAGCGGAAGAATTTACCATTTCCTGGTATAGCTTTACTAGCTCTGCTCCTTTTAAAATGATCTTTTTGTATTTGTCATTCCTTTCCTTACCTTCTCTAGAGCTATTAGAGGTATTCCCAACCATAATTTTGACTCTTCCATAATGTTCTAGATGAACAGAATTGTATTTTACATACTCAGAATCAGCCAAATCAGACAAAAAAGTTGTTAGTGCAACCTTCGATGGGCCGAGCCCAGTAGGTGGCAGTCGCTGCACATGGTGCTGTTAGTCTACGCTTTTCAAGGGAAAAGGCTGTTGAAGGTCATCACCTTCAGCTAGTGTTATTAAGTTCCATGTTTTCCTAATCAGATGCAGGGAAAATACTTGCCTAGGTAGATTTTCTTCAAATTTATACTTAATGTACACAGATATTTTTCTTTATTAATTTGAATTTTGCTGTTAATTCCCTGTCATTGAATATTACAAAATGTGTCATGGTTATTAAATCAATAATTAAATAAAACATTAAATCATGGTTATTATAATCAATATCAATTCAGAATTGATGTAATGTTAACAAAATGGGGCTGGGGTTATAATTAGGGGGAAGCTGTCAATTTGGTAGTCTCTTGGATTATTTTTTTTCTCATGTTTTAAAGTGTTTCCTGTTATTGTTTAGTACATTGCCTAACCATATTCAGTAATGGCCTAGGTCTCCTAATGAAAATTATTAAAAAAAAGAAGATAGCGTAAAATGAATACAAATCAGAAAGAATGTGATGTGGAACACTTTAATTGCTTTAAAAGATAAACTCGACTCCAGTGGTAGTCAGCTGTCCAGGGCAGTATGCCTGTGATAGTGTTACACTGCTGGGAGATAAAAATCATTCATTTCTTCTTGCTGCTGTTGTCACCATTCTGGAGACAGCTAATGCCAAAAAGAAGTGTCAACGTGCTTCCCTGAGAGTGCGCTAAAGGTTTGCTTTCCCTCTTTAGTGCTAGTCTGGAAGCATACATACAGAAATACTTAGGGTACTTTACCTTTTGTTGAGTGCTAAGTGTGACAAATGGAAGTGCAAAAGATTGCTACTTTTCTTCCCAACTTGCTTTAGTTCAGACTTGGTTTTAATATGCATACCATTTATTCAGGCATCACCATGCACCCTGACATTGGTCCTTGTATCGCTTGCACCTTCTAGAAGATCAGTCTAGCCTTCCTGGAGGTCTTCTACCAAGTGAGCATAAATGTACCAGTCATTCTCAGTCGCCAAATGCAGTAACCACATAAGGACCATTTATCATCTAGGATTAGAAAGTAATTTGAAGGGAAGAGATTGGATTCTTGGTAAGGGGCAAGTTTGACTTGAAAAGAGAGAAAAATTTTCATAAGGTTTGACAGAACAAAATTTTTGCTTTCATAATCGCCTTCATTGCTATTTGTAGTACTTGTTATAGAGTAGATCATGTATGTAAGTTACGTGCTTTTCCTTACTGTTTTGTTTTGAAGGGCTTTTGGTTCATTATTCCAGTTTTATTAATCAAATGTGTAGTGTAGACACATTACACCTATCTTAAATACTGCCTCAATGTAAACACAGCTGAAAGTTTTAATTCCTTTTTAACTCCTTTATAGAATTCTAAATATGGTGACACGGCAAGGAGCATTATGGGCTAACACTCTGGGATCTCTAGGTAAGTAAAGTCATGACTTTGTAGGAAAACAACTCAAAGATGTAACTGTTTGATGGGGAAGTTTATTCTCTAAATTTTCATTATGACATCCATCAGGAAAAGCTGCAGTTTTTTTTACTTGGGATGTGAAGGCATTTCAGTAGACATTGTAAAGGAAATTAAAGGCTGAAACAGGATTTGAAATATTCATGGCCAAAAGCCTATAATTAACCACCAAAATTTGTAGTATATTAAAACCAAAAACTACAGCTATGGAATAACAGGAATAACTGAAAATTAGAGATAATGCTTACTTGTTAATAAATTGAAGCTAATTCACAACTTCAGGCAAAAAATATAATTGAATACTTCTGAAATAACTTCAGTAATCTAAGAAGAGACTCAGTGGTTATGTGAGCAACTGCCTGATGTCTGTTTCCAGTTAAAGCATCAATAAAAAGTTCATCTGTAGAAGTGTTGTGGTTTAAACCCAGCCAGACAACTTGTTCACTCACTCCCAGTGAGTGGTGCTGGGCTGACAGCAATCGAGGCCCACCCCCCCCAGGGCTCTCCCCTTCCCCGCTCCCGGAAGAACAGGGAGGAGGATCGAAAGAGTGCAACTCCTACAGGTTGAGACAAGAACAGTCCAGCAACCAATGTACAACACAAATCACCACCACTATCACCAACAACAACAACGATAAGGGAAAATAACAAGGGAAGAGAACACGATACCACCGGCCAAGAAACGAGTCCCATCCAGAAGCCCCTGTCCTTCCGGGTAACTCCCAGTTACCCCCCACCCCGGGCATGACGTGCTGTGGTATGGAATACCTCCCTGGCTAGCCCGAGTCAGGCATCCCGTCTCTGCTTCCAGGACAAGAAGAAATGTGATAGTGACTACAGTGATTTATCCTTTTATGATGGTATCTTAGCTAGAAAAATCATGTATTATACCACCTACTTTAAATATAAACATTGCTTATAACTAGTACGGGTTAGAAAAAAAAAAGAGTAAAGAAAATGAACAAAAGCTTAATATATAAGAAAAACTGTGAACCAAGGTTTGGGTGGGGACAGAAAATAAAAATCCCATCAGTTGCCTTAGAAAATCAACTTCAGATGATTTCATAAAAATCAGTGCAGTAACTTGATGCCATAGAAAATACAAGCTCTTTGCCCACTCCACCTCCCCCTTCAATCTTAAAAGACCAAAGGGTGCTCAGTTACTTTGAAAGGAGAAATCCAAAACTGGTAAAAATATTTTGAAGGTTAACGATGGGACTCATTTCTCCACAAAGTGGTAGCAGAGAAGAGAAGCTAGCAATATTTGAAACATATACAACATCATGTTATAACCCAGTCTACACATATTTGAATTTTGAGAAGTGCATCAAAACATAGGCTAAATTGCATTTATTGCGTTTTGTTTCAGTCTTCTTTCTAAAGAGTAGATTAGCCTGCTGATTAACTCAGACATCAGCTTTTGAAGCATCAGAGAGAGGCCATGGTTAGAGATGGGATTCTGAACTACTGCAAGAATGGCACTTCTAGGAGGCGCATACTGCCTAGTGACTTTTATGATGGGATTGTTTTTTTTTCTTATTTTCTATTCCAAATCTAATCAAAACATAGCTGAAAACTGAGACGCAGGCACACTGCAGTTCAAGGTCCCAAGTTAAGTGACACATTAACAGTTTTTTCAGCTGTGTTTGAAGAAAGATTACTCAAGAAAATGTTTGTGCATTCCAGTAACAAATTGTTATTTTGCTTATAAAATATGGCCTCCTGTGTCATAGAGTTAAGCAGAACTTGGTATTTTGGGATTTGGTATAGCTGTGCCTTGTCCTAGCTACCAGAGAAGTTCTTTTCAAACAGCTGAAGTATTATTTTTCATCTTATTTCACTTGTATAGTATTTATGTACCTCAGAAATTCCTTTTGACACCAACAATTTGTGTCATTCACTTCCTGAATAGAGGTAGCAACATCTGTGTTAAACTGCGTTGACTTCAGCTTTTTCCTCCCCTCATTGTTAATACTACATGCTACTAAGACAAGGTAAAATACCATTGCCTATGCTGAATGCAGAAAGATGCTACCATTCAACTCATTGACATTAAGAGTTGCTTATGAAGGAGTTGCATGCTTTCCAACAGACACAGAGGTTTCAAATTTTTGGAGGACGAGTGATGAATAAAAGTGGCATAGTGTCTTTATCACTGTAAAATGATGACATACTCTACTGTTCCATGTCAGCATGAAATAAGAATATATTATGAGGAGGGAGGATGGAGGTGCCTTTACCCTTCCTCAAAACAATAGATTATATATGCATTTATACTAAAAACCCACACATTTCTAATCCTTTCCAGACAGTCCCCAAAGTTTTCCGAAAGCAAAAGGCCCTCTGGGGACAAAATTTTCACATGCAGGCAGAGATGGAGTAGCTGTAAATGTCAAATCCCAAGCAATTCAATAGTCATTTGTAAGGGAAATGTGGCACATTGTACTCCAGCCCTTAATAACATGATCTGAGTGCTGCACTTAACTTATATTTCATCTCAGTCACATGTGGGAAACTATTTTCTCTGCTACCCAGAAAGTGGTGTTTAGTTTCATGCCATCCACACAAGACAGTATAAAGCCTCGCAGTACAGAGTTTAACCCTCAAAAGTCTTCCAGATGAATTTGAACTAGTAAAATGGGCTTAAACTTCAGTCAGTTCTTTACATCACATATTTATCATATCTTGAGGCAGTACTAGAAGGCATGAAGAATGCTACTTTATAACCAAACTACAGTTGGAGAAAGAAAAATTATCTGTAAAATAGAAATAGGTCTGGAAAAAAAACCACCAAAGATGGAATTTTGCTGAGGATTTTCCCCCTTTAAATAAACAGAAAATCTGTGCTGCAGAAACATGGGCTAAATAGTTACACCAAGCTTGGATTCTAAGCCTTGTGTCTCAGAGAATGAGAGATTCAGTTAACTTGAATTTAATATGTTTTTCTTTTCCAGCTCTACTTTACAGTGCATTTGGAGTTATCATTGAAAAAACACGAGGTGCAGAAGACGACCTGAATACCATAGGTGCTGGAACCTTGACAGGAATGCTGTACAAAAGCACTGGTAGAGTAACTAAATGTTTCTAGTTTTTCTTCTCTTGTACTTTTATCCTAGTTATTAGGATTCTCACTACTTTTACTAAATACTGTCCTGCTCTGAAAACTGCAGTGTAAAAATGGTGCAGTAGGAACTAAGACCTATTAAGTTCAATGTTGCCTAACCCACACATTGTTTTTCACCCAGCTAAGACCACTTAAGGAAAACATGCACTTAAAAAGTTCCAGCTGAATTAAATCAGATTCTTTCCAACTTGCACAGGACTAACAGTCATGAGAGCCAGATTATGTCTGTTACACATATAAGCTGAATTAACATTCAGATATTTACTCAGATTTATAGTGAGATTGTATAAAATACATACCCAGCTCATTCTTAGCCATGTTTTTTAAGTATAGCAGGAATAAAAGCAATAGTTTCTCAAGTCCATGAGTGGACGCAAGCAAATGGGAGCCACCTTCCAAAGTGAAATGGGGTTGGGGAGGAATACACAGAGCACAGCTTGAATGCATCAAGGTGAAATTTACTACAGGTGACTCATGTGATAGTACCAGAGCTGAAAACAAGCCCTACACACAGAGAAACTGATACATGTATAAAGTTATTACTTAACTGTTTGTGAAACAGTTGTCTTGTGGTAGGACTCTAATCTTTGCATAGTGGTCAAAACTAACAATGTTGTTTGAGAACAGCATGGATTTAAGGTTAGTTACTAATGCAGACTGAATTGTTGGCAGAGGAGGGGGCCTGAGTTTCTTCAGGAAAACACATATTCCAAGCTCAAGAGTTGGAGGGTTCATCTTTTTTAGAGGACTGCTGGGTACCAGGGATTGACTACCCACAGGAAAAAAACACTAGTTTTAAGTACCTTAATAAAGGTTTAGGCTGTATGATTCATTACTGAGAAGATAATTCTAGAATTAACCTATGTACTTTTACATATTTAACTGAGCCTCAGTGTCTTAGAGGCTCAGTTAAATATGTTTCTGAAGCTCAGCTTTATGTCTGGGCCAAAGCAGTTTGAGAAGTCTTATTTTCCTGCTGTCCTAGACTAATTGAAATGAAAAATATCTGGCCTGAGTAGTCTTCATAAATACTAGCTTGTGCACTTAACCTTGCAAGAGCGCATAGCTGTTATTTGGAATTTCATGAGTGATATAAGAGATGACCAATGACATTTGGGTAGGGTAGCAGCATAAAAGCCTAGCATTTCCTGCAGGAAGTTATTAAGAAGGAGAACTGCCATCTTGCACTCCAGCAGAGGCTTCCCCATTACCTCTCAGAAGTATAGAGCTGTCTATGTGTAATTCTTTATTTCCTGGCGCAGTGCAACCATGGATAACTACCCCAGTCATATGCACAGTCACCTGACACCACAAAAAATTTTCTTGCCAAAGCACAGTGGGACTTTGTTTTGTAACATAGGATCTACTCAGCCAATAGTAGTACTGATAAAGGTAAATGTAGTCAGTAGCTGTATTGTATTTCAAGTATGTGTCAGGCATATGAATTGTATTGCAGAGAAACTCAAAAGAAACATGGTTTTCGCCATATGCAGGAAATCTGAGCGGCACAGTATACCTTTAAAGGTCAAGGATTAGTTCTGTAAGTGAACAAGATTATATTCACATCAGTTTGAGAATTTAATTCCAGTCTTATTTTCCTTTTTTCTTTCATGCTCTGTCCTTCTTGCTGTTTCTCCCATGCCTCTTCTCCTGTCAATTTATGCCAGAATACCCTTCCTAATTCTGTATGGTTAAAGCTTCCATCTAAGTTATGCCTTTATGCAAGATCAATATGTATCTCTACCTAAGAAACCTTGAATATTTCAGCCGCATGCAAATGATCAGTTCACAGGTGTGACATATCAGGATTGTAATCATTTCCTGTGTTACATGGAATGTCATGCTGGCACAGAAAAAGGAAAATTTGTAAGCTATCGGGGACACTTCTAAATCCCCACATTTTTGCATCAGCTGCAAACTCCCCCAAACGCACCATTTCAAACCAAGGCTGTTCCATAATCTACAAAGTTGGAGGTAGTGCTATTCAAACTCTCAGATTTCCCACCTCCATCATTTCTGTTTTGTAAAGAGATAAGGAATATATTTAAGAAGAAACTGTATAAAGTATGACAGGCTTTTTATTATGACTTTATGGTTTGTGTTTAAACATAGCACTGATAGAAGAATCACATCAGCAGCCCTGTTGCTCCGAAAGATACTCTTGTGTACACCAGAAAGCCTAAACTGAATTTCTGAAACAAACTGTTAAGCTTTTGTTGAGGGGGGTGAATGAATGGAAGAAAGTAGTGGGAAAAATTTGAAGGCTGAGGTTTGTTGCCCCAAACTGGTCCCAGTTTTCACAATTTATCCTTGTAGAAGTGTTATAGAATCATAGAATGGTTTGGGTTGGAAGGGACTTTAAAGATAATCTCATTCCAACCCTCCTGCCATGCGCAGGGACACCTTCCACTAGACCAGGTTGCTCAAAGCCCCATCCAACCTGGCCTTGAAATGATGTTAATCATTACCAAAATGCCAGCAGTCAAACAAAAAAAGACTTTCCGAACTATGCATGTTCTAAAACCATTAGATTGTGAGCAGTTTTGTGCAAGGTTACTTAACACACAGCTTCTGTGAGAGAAGATAGAAGATAGAAGAGCATTAAAAGGTCTGCAGATGAAGACTGTGGAAGTTCAGCCTCCCTGTGTTCACTGGAAGTGGCTTTAATCACTATCAGGTGCCCATTGCAAGTGACTAAAGCAGTTAAGTCCCCAAGACCTCTGATAGTCCTCGAAATTAGTCAGATACTGTTAACTTGCCATTATAAATCAATGTTACCTGGGATCTGTCTCAGCATTCTGTATGGCTTAGGTTAACAGATTTTCAATTGCTTTTGAAAGTAAAACTGATTTGAGGAGCCTTGAAACAGCATACTAGCTGATTCCTTTGACCTAGTGTTCTCTAGGTTTCACATTTATTGAAATGAAATTTAAAATCAAGATTACTTACTAGATTTTAACCCAAATGTAGCAAAGTGAGTACAGTATTAACTTGTTACACTAAACTTGCAACTTCATGGAAACTGTATTTTGAATTCACAACTTAAACTGAATGTTCTGGGTAAAAGGTGAATGATAGGTGAAAGAAACACCTTTATGTTCCTTTGCCAGTGACATGTGTAGTAGAAATGCTGTTGAACTTAGTCAGTCCTGTTTGAGTTTTGCTAAAAGTCAGTCTGATATTCTGTGTCCACAAGGATGGCTTTTCTATTTAATAAGATATTATTCTTTATTCTTTAGTTTCAAGCAAAGGCTAGAATTAAGATCTGTTATGCTAGATTTTTTCTGCTAAATGTTACAAAGCACACATACTAATAGAACTTAAACAAATATTTAGTTCTCTTGCATGCGTTTTCAACTCAAGCATCTTCATTTTGTTTTCTCATAATTGTATTAGTTTCTCAAAGTAGCAAGAAATGCACTATTGTCACTAATATTCCCTGCCACCTTGAAAACACATATGGTTCTAGTCATCATGTCACAAAGGTAGGGCTGGCTGAGGATCTTGCACTCCTTCTCAGGCATGCATGGTCGATTACTCAGGAAAAGTATCCTCAGCTCCTCAGCTAGGTGAGACTTTGATCTGACCCAGTGTGACAGCTGTAGTTTCTCATTGAAATTCCTGACAGAGAATTCAGTAAGCAAGGAAGTTAAATAACATTTCTTTCTTACCTGATGGTTATACAGGTTATAGATACTCTTTCTTAGATAATTTCATCCCCCTTGAGGTTAGGGAAAACAGGAACAAAAAATACTGTGTTGGACAAACTAAATTACTTTGATTACTGTACTTCTGACAGTAGGAACTTGATACTAGATGGACCATCTCATGCCTTTTGCACAATAGACGTTACATAATTTGGTATAAAATAGTGTGTGCCTGAAAAAGAAGGGACTTGCATAGCAGTAGCTGAAGGGAGTACTTGTCATTTTAACCTCAGAACACAACCCTGAAAAGTCAATATGCTATGAATTAATTAAGAAGGGCTAAATGGTTAATTGCTACCAGTAAAACATGGCCAGAGCTAAAGATCAGTTTTGTGACATTCAGTGGGTAGGAGTTCAGGGCAGTTGTGTTGGCTAAGTACTTCCTGATCTTTAAAAGCCTCCTCCCTTGGGGCTCAATCTGTGGGCTAGACAGTTGGTATTTTTTCTTGTTTCTTTTTAGTGGGGAGGGGGAAAGGGGAGCTTTTTGTAGACTTCTGCGGGTATGGCCCTGGGATATCTTATTTTTCTGCATTATTTGGAGGAAAGGAAGTAAAGGATTCGCTTCTGAACTTTGAAGTTCAGGGCTGTCAGGCATTTTAGAAATTAAGAACCTCTATTAAAATCTGCTTTTAAGGTAGATTGCTATCTTAAATAGTCTGTGAGACAATTAAATACAGACTATAAGTAGTCTGTAAGACTATTAATCAAATACTGTTTAGTGAAGGGATTTTGTTTCTGTCTGAAATAAGGGAGAAAGAAGGGCAAAGTATAGGCAGGTACTCCAGAGCTTAGTTACCGGAGGGCTAGTGACTAAGAATACATGTGGCCACTGAGAGCAGTGCTGCCTTCTGCCCAGCTCTGCTAAGCAGAAACAGTGAATCAAGTTCTCAGTGCTGCAGGGATTTGCAGGGTTCTTGCTGCCGTTTACAGTAGCTGAAGCAGTCTCCTGTCAGTCAGGTGCTGCTGCTTTCACTCAGAAGACAGGCAATTTTAATAATGTTTGCAAAGTAAATCCAACAGCTTTAATACTTGTACACTTGTAAATTAAATTGTAAATTCTTACTTGTTTTCCAATTTAGCCTTCACACCATCGTAACTACAAGAAATTTTCCCTGTTTCAGGCTTTGCTGTTTCTGTATTTTAACCACAGTACTGTTTTAGCTGTAGCAGTATGAAAGTGGAATGTGCTTTTCTGGAATATATCTTAATTCCAGAAAGAGGCTCATCAGTTTCCTCAGTAATTTCTCTACCCACAGACTTTGTCCACACTTAAAAGATTTCACAAGATGACCCCTCCTCAGAGCAGGAAGAAACTGTTCAAGTTTTCTACTGACATAGGACCACCCACAGGTGTTGAAACAAAAGTTTGCCTGATGGTTCAGAGGGTCTGGTTAGCTACTGCTGTGCTTGAATTTGGACCAAAACTGATGTTGCCTTGTACAAAATTCAAGACCTTTAAAATAAGCCCTGTTCTTGAAGCCCTAGATGGAAAGAAACTGCATTCTGAGCAACAGAGAGAGATTGGAAGGCAGAAAACGAATCACAACTTGACTATTACACTTACTTTGTTTGGCATAAATATGTGGGCCTAGCCTGGGTTTTCAGTTAAGGTATTTCTAATGTTTGCTGTTGGGTGGTTCTTGCTTTAAACATTCCAGGAACTATCCCAGCATAGTGGAGTAACAAATTCTGAAATTGGAGACAGCAAGGTCTTAAATGGAAGGTTTTGCCCTCATGTTATGTGATACAGAGAATGGTTTTACCTGCTATACAAGTCAAATTCAGTGTTAGGAGTGGATCATGCCATGAAGAAATACAAAGCTGCACTATTAGAATTCTGTGTCATTGCACAGTGTACTCTGAAACATATTTCAAATGCATAGAAGAGGGCAATACTCGGTGGTGAAAGGGTGCAGCAGCTAAAACCAGGGGACTAAATTATCACTTAGAGAGCATCAGACATAGCTTTGGAAGCCCACAGCAATATTCAACTATTGTGCAAGTTGCCCGATCTCAAAAATACCTGCTTTCAGAGGTGTCTGTCAGCTGGAACTTTTTAAGTTATCTTGCTCAGACATGCAAGATTAGAGGCTTACAACCATGGGTTTGTCAAGGCAGACTCTGTATCAGAGGCTTGCAGGGAGTGATTGCAGAGGAGGGGTGGGAATATGTTCTATCTCACAAACACAGCTGGGGTGGGAGTGGAGAATTCTTAATTTACTTTTTTAACAAGGTAATCTTCTCAGAGGGTTTAACATTTTCTGCCTAGCAACTGGGCTGCATTCTGCAGTGCTTTACTGCTTGAAGCCTGCCACAGACCTGGGACTATTTACTCAAATGCAAATCTAACCACTTAGGGAAAGAAAAAGTTTTTTCTTTCCCTTTTTTGTAATTACTGTGGGTGGTTCAGAAACCAGGTGTAGCTGCTACAGAACAATTTGCTGATAATATATGTAGCAGAAACAAAGCAGAAGGGAACCTGGTAAGAAACATTTCTTGCATGTTTTCTTCTTGGATTTTTTCTAACCCTGTAAAGACCTATAGTGACTGCTTCTGTTCATGAAGCAGACTTCACTGAAACATCTTCAGCAAGGTCCCCAAGTTGTCTGCAAGACCTGCAGACTGCTTTTGGCCCTGTGGTTGACACTGTAAGTGGATAAGAGCTGCCATCCTGACCTGGCTAACCCCAGCACAGGAAAGTATTAACAACATTTTTGTGTTAGGAGCAGTACCTCTTAGCAGCACTGTGTCTTAAGTGTGCACAGGTGCTTAGGTGTGAAAATTAAAGAAGATACATTTTTCATACAATCCTGACTTCAGAGAGTCTGGAACCATCCTTGATCAGCCTTCAGCCTACCTTTATTCCCTAGGAAGAATAGGATTTTAGCAGGAAAGAAGAGGAATTGAACTTGGGGGCTGAGGGAAGAGTCTACAGGAATCGTTGTACCTCTGCACTGCATTGCACCCTAGGAGGATATCCCCCATCTTGTGCATTTCCCTGTATACCATAATGGTTAGGACCCTCTGGGGGTTTCTTCTGCGAGCAATTGTTTCCTAAATACGAGCAGCAAGAAAATCAGTCTCCCTAATGTTTTATTCATTTTTCCCAAAAGTAACAAGGACTAAGTATTTTTACAGATTATCTCAAATACTTGCACAAAGTATCCTTTGAATTTCACCTGTGGCTTTTTGCCAGAAGCTGCTTGCATGTGGTTAGCTCTGTGTACCCAGCTGCAACCCCTTCATGTGAAAAGCTTTTTATGCAACAAATTCAGGATGAATTATCAAAAATAGAAGTCTACATTTGCATTCCTAAATCCTTTAGGCAGGTAGGTGCATAAACAGTATGCCTTTTCTTAGAGCTGCTGAGTTCTCAACAGTTTGAGCAGTGAACTCAGGCTTATATCCAAAAAACCTCCTGAATCATCACAGCTGGTCAGAGAGTGAAACTTCTGGAGCTATGGCTACACATGACTTTGGGTACCAAGTCCAACTTCTGCTATCGCTTCTGCAGCTGTTTGGTACCATTGCATGCCTGGCCAATGTGAGTGGGTTCAACAGCTCTGATGAAATCTGTTTAATCCTGCAGCACAGGTAGTGCAGTCTCGGTCTAGCTGACGCCAGCAGCTTCTTGTCCCACTAAAAGCCTAACTGCCGTTCTGTGAGACAACTTTATGACTCATAATTGAAAAAAACAAATAATCACTGATTACTGAGATGCATTTCTTTTCAAGTTTGAGGAACCTGAGTTCCAGTCGGCTTTCCCAGTAAAGCAGGAAGGCTTTATCTGGCTGTAAGCAGAACATGGCCTTGTTCTATATACTGGACACATTATCTAACTTGCTTCAGCTAGGATTGCTAAACATTGCAGAATCAAACTCTGAAGTTTTCCTGGTGTTGAGGCTTATACTGTCAGGGTTCCTGTGCATTTATATGCATTTTGGGAGCTTTACCAAGGCACTCCTGTTACTGAGGGATAGAGACATTTTGATGTTTAGGAATAGCAACAGAAGTCTCTACTTCTGTCCCTGTACACCACAGCTGTTGCTGGTGGAATGGAGTTGTGATGCCATCTGACTCCCAGCTCCAGCCAGATGCACTGGCTGCTGGTATTAGCCACACTTGCCCTGTTTTACCTTCACAGCTTGCCCAAGCTTCAAGTCTTGAGTGAGCAGTAAAAATAACTAAAAAATGTGATCACCTGGGTGACTCAGTTTGTACCATTGCAGGATGGTCATTTTGAATATTAATAGCAGCAAGGATAAAGGCAGGTGTTCAGTGAATTCACCAGTAAATTCTTGCCATCGATCCCTTTCATCTACTTTTCTTTTTTTTTTTCCCCAAAAAAGATTTTAAAATTACAAAGACGCCAAAGCAGTGATAAGTTCTGTGCAAGAATCTCTGGAGCCCAGGGTCATGTCCATATCAGCTGCTGTTGTGTTCGCTTGTTCCCACCTGTCCCTTTCTCCTTCTCCCCAAATCCAGTTACTGTAACTGACAAACATTATTATTATTCCTCATCTGAAATATCAAATGGAGGAGTTCCTGAAGCAGGAAGAGATCATATATATCTGTAAACACCTGTGCTGAGAACAGATGGAACAGAAAATAGGACTTGGGAAAAGCCACCTTTGCTTCAAGTGTTCTGCAGCAGTAGTGTTCTGAGGCAGTAGTGCTAACACAGTTAGAGAGGAAGTCATACCAGCAGAATTAGTGTCAGGATCAGGAATGACCTTTCTCAAGTCTGGAGGTAGGTTTGACGGGGTGGGGGGGTAAGAATTAGCACAGGTACCCTTTCTGGAAAGGTACTCAAAAAAGGAAAACTGTTTCATTGAAGTGCCTCTGCATTTGAACAGCTTCTAGGAAGCCACTGTAGCTGACCATTCCCTCAGATGTAACTTTAATGGGTTTCAATCTGTGTTTCTTTTCCAGGTGGAGTGCGTGGGATAGCACGAGGTGGTATTGCAGGTCTGACGCTGACTGGCCTCTACGCTCTCTACAACAACTGGGAGCACATGAAGGACTCCATAGCTGGGCAGTCCCTCTGAGCAGGGCAGCCACTGTGGGACAGAGGACATGCTTGCATAGTCACCAATCAAATCAGTTGCAAGACCTGTCTGGTGCCCCTTCCTATTTTATTTACAATTAGTGTGAAACCGAAGGAAGCTATGCTGGGAAGAACCTGTTGACACCACGTAACTGGACTGGCCCTTTCCTTCCTGCCAGCCAGTTGCTGGAAAGGCAGCAATATTTCTTGGACCTGCAAGCGAACAGAGTGGCCACCGAGATAGTCTCCCTGACACGCTCACCAGCTAGCCCTGGGCCAGAGCTACAAGGCATGCTCAAGTCCCATAGCTGTACTGCTGCGCTACCAGGTTTGGTTGCATGTGCTGCCACGATAGCGCTGCATAATAAAGTTTGTGTCCATAGAGCTATTCACTGCAGTCTTTCAACATGCATTGCCCCAGCAGCTGGAGCCAGTAGGAGCCTTAAGTGGCAGCTGGCACAGGGCAAAGCCTGTTACTCTGACAGCACAGGGTAAGCTGTAAAAAGGGACATAATCATTAATAAAAAGGGTGGTACTTGTGCAATACTGTCTCTATGCTTTGCTGTTCCTACTACTGATAAGACAAATGTTCCTGATCAAGTGACTTTTGTTTAGTTTTGTTTTGAAGGACCAATGTGATAAAATCCTGGGGGAGTTAGAGGGTGAGGGGAAGCAAACTGTCAGGCTGATTGTCTCCTGATGTGAGGTTGTGATGAGGCATACCAGAGCTTGACTCCACTCCCTTATTTGCTCTAGTAAGTAAGGAGCTGGTTATTTCTAAATGAGGTATCATTGCTGATGTAGGGGAGCTGCCAGTGGGTTGTCAGAACACTTGGGTGCTCCAGGGTCTCAGAACTCATTTAGCCAAGAGCTACATATAAAGACTCCTCTCTCACTCTCTGTTACAGGATTTTTAATTAGTGGCAAGCTTTTTGTCCCAAATAATGTTTGTAGGTTATTGGCAAAATGAAGTCATGTGAACCTACACCTCCTCCAGTGTTAAAATACATATCAAGCATTGTTTGCAGATAAACTAAACAGTAAATTGTGTGATTAGTTATTGTATAACAGCTCATTCCTTTCATTTTTAAATAATTAAATAGCATGAATGAAGGCAGGGCAAAGGAAAAAATCAAGAAACTTGATGCTTAGTAGACAGATTTATGCAAAACAAGAGTTTACTTTGAGTTCTGCCTACTGAAACAACTCGAGAACTACATTGTACCCAACAAAATCAAAACAACAACAAAAAAAAGCAGCAGAAGCAAGCTCTTACCTTCCTCCCAAAAGAAGCACAGCCTTTTCAGGAAGAGATAGCTGTTGAGAAAAGCTTTTCTTACGGAGCAAGTGCTGTAGGAAATGAACTTTCACAGTTGAACTCAATTAGCTTCCCTTGGATACCAGGTCACAGCAGGTGCTTTATGCCACACTTAACTAGGTGTAGCGTAAAGAAAAAAAATGGGCCTTTTCTCACCCACTTTGTAAATGCTGTTTCTTGTTAAGCCATGTGTTCCTCTGTGAGCTGTGGATTACCGTTGTGGTGTTAGAGCCAGATCTTCTAGCACACATTTTTCAAGGGCTGTACCACCCAAGTAGTGCAGAAAGGAGAAATAGCCACCAGTTGTGCAATGCTGTCACCTGGGACACTAGGAGGACATGTGCACTTTCTTCCTGAGCTGCTTCTCCCCCATCAGCATCAGTGAGTTCCTTCCCACCCATATCTTCATCACTGTTAATAGGATTTACGCTCGTGCGTGCTTGACTCTGCTGGATGAAGGACCGATGGCTGCTTTGGGGGCTGATGGGCAGGGGTTGCCTTTTAAGTTTCAGGAACTTAGCAAAGGATCTTTTAAAGTTTTCTAGAAACTTTGAGGACTGAAACATAACCCAGGACTGAGATGTAACCCATAACATAATACTCTTCCCCCCAGCTGAAGTGGGAAAACTGTGAAGCTTAACAAATGGTGCACAGGAGATCTTGTAGGAACAAGCTTTTGTAAGTTCAAAGTTGCCATGACCTTAAGGCTAGGCTGACTCTTTAGACAACTTAGCATGGTACCTGGTCTGCCTTAATCTCAGATTTCCTGGAATTGCTTGCCTCAGGGGCAGAGCTTGGTGCATTTTTCTGAAATAGCTGTGTTTCTAGGGCTACGAGAAGCTTTGGTTCATGACCTGTTTGTATATGGGGTCGTCTATAGCTTGAATTATGAAATGCAGCCAGCACAGAGGCAGCAGTGAGGGAGGTGAGTTGTCATTATGGAATACAGAGAACAGCTTTATGATGTTCTGTGTTGAGACTTGCTGTGTTCACAATTTAATAGTGAACAATATATAAAGTTGCTACTTAAATCTGTGACCAAAAGTGTACTCAAGTTCAGCTGGAATAAAAGGAAGCAAAATCAGGTTGCAAGCAGGATTTGGCAAGCAAGTTTTAGTTCTGCTATGCAGTATTACATGGATGTGAGCAAACAGCCTTGGCCATCTTGAAGAGCCATGCTTTGTCCTCTTGCAGTGCCAGTCACGGCATCTAATTTTGCTGATGAAGCCAAGACAGATTTTCCATGCTGCGGCAGCAAGTGAGGGAGCCTGAGACAACAGCTATAATGAAAGCTTTCTGAACCTTGTAAAGCTGCTTGCATGTAGTCTTTGGAACAGAGAAAAGCAAACCACTTCCACCATTCCCTGTCAGCAGGTGACCTCTTTTACAGCTGGGGAATATGTTGAAAAGTCACTAGTCATGCGATAGGAATCTCCAGCTTCCTCCATGAACCAGAAGCTGCTTATCAAAACAAGACAACAAATGTATGTTGGGGCAGAAAAACGATCCCATGTTCATAACTTGTGTTACCTCTGACCTAATCTGAGACTGAAAAGGAGAGGGAAAATCCTTTTTTATGCTTTAACGCAAGGCTACCCTGTACTTACTAACTTCTAGATAGGAAATAGGTATGTTTCAAGTGGAGCATTGTGTACTCTGTGGGCCTACACTGGTGAATGTCAGGCACTGCAAGGACACCAAAGGGTACCACAGCCCCTTGGTACTTTCACAGCATCATTACTACTTATCTTCTGTTCCCCTTGAGTGTCCCTTCCCCCTGTTTCAGCCGCCCTCTCTCTGTCGTGTGAGAACAGCCCCTGACTTGCAACAGCAGAGTTGGGTCTGAGTTGTCTGGTACCCTGCTCCATGTGGGCACTTGGGAGGGAAGGAGACCTCTGCTGCCACTCATACCCTCATGCTCTTTTGTGTGTCTAACAGCAGAAATGGCAGTTTGCTTTCTTGACTTGGGGAGCCTCTACCAGTAACCCCATCAAGTGCTGGCCTTTCCCCCCTCTCCTCTGCTGTCTGCAGGCTGAGGGCCCCCCATGATGCCTGTGGCAGATCTCAAGTGCAGGGGCATAACAGGTCCTCATCAGGCACTCTTTAACTTGCAAAGTCACCAGCACAGACACTACACAGCCACAAAGCACTTCAGTTATTTTGCTCAGAAGCAAGTCAGGAGGATTCATCTGTTGCAGAAACACAGCTGAGGGGGAAGCAGGAAGTAACTGCTCCAGCTCCACTGGGAGAGAGAAGTGGAATTAAGCACTGCTCAGTACAAGGCATCAATCTGATAATCTCAGATTGTTCAAAGGAAGGTCTCCACATGTTTGAGAAGAGCATTCTCTGCTCCCACTACTCTGTCCTTCTTTGTCTTTGGGGAAACCTTAAGTATTCCCCCCACTGTCTTTGAAAGCTAAACATTCAGGATATATGTCCAGGAGTTCTGCACGTAGCTGTTTCTAAGAACCTCCAATCCACTTAGAAAAACTACATATGCACACTCACATGTGAAATTCAAGGTATGGTGGTTGAACAGCTGCCAGGCCCAGATGCCTCATGAGAATGCTCTCTTCATGGTACAATGCAGCCCAGTTGAAAGAAATGGAAAATCCTCAAAAGAGGAACAAAACATGCAGCAAGTTCAATGTCCAAAAACTAGGAAAGCAGAGGCACCAGAGAGGAGCTAACTTCCAGTTGCACAGCCAGACCAGAGATGTTTCACAGCCATAGAGAAGAGGGCCGAAGGCTGCTTAGACCCATACAGCCTCCTTAAGTATTCCAGAGCTGTAAGAAACACACGTCATGTTTAAATCTGCATTTCGTGCTGCAGTGCAGTAACTGACAGGGGTTACCCTGGTGTGTGCCTGGTGCCGGGGCTCTGTGCAACTGCGTGTCCTGGAGAAGGGATGAGCTAAAGCAGGTGAGTGCAGTCCAGGGCTGGAGACAGAGCTGCAGCCACATCCTAACAGAGGCTACCTGGGCAGTATGCCACAGTGTGCTGTGTGAACCACCGTGCAAAGGAGATATAACACAGCCTTTGGTTGTAATTATTTTTTAATGAAAAGACTAATCAATGTTTCACATAAATATCAATTAGTGATAACAAGTCGGTTGAGTAAGTAAAGGAATACATAACCCCCAAATTTTAAAGGCTCATAATGAACTGACAAAGTAGCACACAATGACGACTACAAGGAATTATAAGGTGGGCTGCACGTCAATCACATTTATTAAGTTCAACTGCTAATCAAATTAGGCTGTTACTGGAGTTAGTCACAGTGCAGTCTTCCCATGCAGCAGCAAGGACACGTTCAAAGGGCAAAGAGAACTTCAGAAACATGTTACTGCTTTCAGCAGAAAGCCCCAGCTACAGAAGCCTGAGCACTGCAGGTAGTCTGCTGACGTCCTTTCAGGGCCTCTCTCAGATGTGCAGTGTCACTCTCTCAGACTAAACTGATTTTTAAACAAATGCACAGGTTCTATCAGGCAGGAACACGTTCACACTGCCATGTGACACCAACATTGGATCTTGCTAATCATTTCTACAAGGTTGTGAAGAACAACA